GGTGGGTGGGTTGGCAGGTCTGAGGTTTTTGTTATTATATACACTGTGCAAAAATGTGCTTGACTAATCTAAACCTTGTGTTGCTTTCTTATACTGCTAGAGCAATTATAGCTGAGAAAAAACCCCACACATCACCCAATATGGAAATACGTTTTTTTCATGTTTGACATTTTTACATTTTTACTGACAGGGTAAAGCCTATGATTTAATCGGTCTCCATTTCCCATAACTTCTGAGAAGGGACTGGCCCCTCCTCCACATTTCTCAAAGGACTTATGATTAGAAAGAAGGCCATGGAAAACCCAAAGGAGCTGACTCCATCTATCATGTAACACTGTTGAATGAGAGGAAAAAAAGAAGAAAATTAATACTTTCTCCCAAAACTCTTGGTGTGTGCACTGCAGTGCATATAGGGATTGTGAGTCTCTGTGGCAGAAATGGGAGGATTTTGAAGAAACAAGATATTTTTGCCACTTTTCAGGAAAACAAGAAGTTTTTCTGCTTTTCTTTTACTGAAGCACATTCCTTCCACATCTCTCTCTTTTTTTAAATTAAATGTTTATTGCTCTTTGTAGTAGGAATGCCACAGCCTGAGGGAGGGATGGAAGGATGGAAGAAGGGAAGGAAGGAAGGAAGGCAGGCTTGCTCAGTTCTGCTCTTGTCAAAGATGATGGACCCTCCTTAGTATATCAAAAAAATTGATTTCAGTGTGTACCAAATGAGACACAAGGTACTATCCTGGCCCAAGAAAAGAGAAGTAGCAGCTGTTTACAGAAGGTGGAGAGATGCAGCTGCAAGCAAGAAAGAGCAAATAATCAGGTGTCAGAGACAATGAGAACTGGAAGCTGAGCACAAATTATGTCATTGTTCCTGATCAAACTTTTAGAACTTGGAAAGATTTAAAGATTAAAAACGTTCAAAGTAGAAGATACTGATCTTCTCATTTTTAACTTATTTCAGCCTTCCTGGATGCATGATGGCACTGTCCTCTCGTGATGGGAATGGGAGGCTGCCACAGGTGACCAGAAGAGATCTCACCCTGTGAAAATATGGCATAAAAGTGATCTGAACATCTGGGGACAGCCAGAAGTAAGATACACACTTGCTCTGCAGTCAGAAAGGTGATTTGTTGTAAGCGCTCTTAGCAGATAAGACCTTGCTTTCAATGAATTATCACTTTTCCACATTACTAGGTTAATGCATTACCTGTACAAGAGCTTTGTCTGTAGTAGAAAAGAATAATCTGATGTTAAACTGTTGGTTTGTTTTTTCCCTAGACATTAACAAAAAATAATTTAGTTGGTTATAAGAACAAAGAGGTGGAAAGGCAGATTGTCTTGACCATGCATGAACAAAAAGTATTTCTGTGGTGACTTCTGATGTGATATTTCAGAGTCCAAATTCAAATCCTCAAAGTCTTCACCTGGAACACAAAGAGAATGGAAGGTCCTCCTCAAGTCTCACCAGAAAAACAGGAACAATCCTCAACTTTCCCTGGAGCTGCCTCTGCTGACCAACCTGAGCCGCACCAAGGAAAACCGAGGGCTGTTTCTAGGGGCAGCTTGGAGGTCTGGCTGCCATTGCAGCACAGGAGGAAACAGAGAACAGTGGTCAGAAGATCAAGAAAGAGGCAGCAGAAGTGAACCAGAAAAGATATAGACTGGAACAAAAAGCCAGTTTTGGGAACAGAGTGAGGAATAGAGAAGACTGGAGCTGTGTCTCCTTGAAGCTACAACTTCCTTAGGAGAGGAAGAGGCAGGCTTTGATCTCTGCTCTATGGTGACCAGGACAGGGCCCGAGGGAACGGCTGGAGCTGTGTCAGGGGAGGGTTAGGGTGAATATTAGGAAAAGGTTTTTCCCCTCAGAGGGTGGTGGGGCACTGAACAGGCTCCCCAGGGAATGGTCATGGCCTCAAAGTTGCCAGAGCTCCAGGAGCTTTTGGACAGTGCTGTCAGGCACAGGGTGATTCTTGGGGTTGGTTCTGTGCAGGGCCAGGAGTTGGATTTGATGATCCTTGTGGGTACCTTCTAACTCAGCATATTCTATGATTCTGTGATCATTAGGAACTAGGAATTTGCTCACAAAGGTGTGGAATGCAGTGGGTAGGTGCCTTGTGAGATCGTAAGAAGATTAAAATTACTTGTGATTCAAATTGAAAGTAAAAAGGCACTGATGCACTCGGTGCTTGCAAGTAAAGGGGGGTTAGTATCGTTAAGCAAAACAGAAAGTGTGGGAGAATAAACACCTATTCTCTGGTTGCACATTCTCATTTCTTCATCTACACATGTGCAGGGCTTCCCCTTTGTTGCTGTCACACTTTCAAAAGAAAAATGTCATTATTTTAAGACCAGCTTTGCTACAGTAAAAGTCAGCAACACAGTGCAAGGCCCTGGGAAAACTGTTCTGAGAAGAGCCTTGGTTTTATGGTAAAGCACCTGACAGAGACTTCTATAAAAGGGACAGCTCCTGGGCCCTCAAAGTTTCCTGTGTCTGATCAAGTAATTCAGTGCTTCTGTGCTTCAGTTCCCAACAGCTGGGAGGGGCTGATTCCACAGTGATTGATCTCACACTCAGCATCACACGACTGTGCCAAGGGTGTGTTTTGGAGGTTGGGTTTGAGATTTCAATTCTGCTTCGTCTCTACTCTTTGTGAGCACCCATGTGCCTCATTCAGCACCAAGGGGGGTTCAGGTAGGCACATAAAGGCTCTCATACACAATGCAGTTGTTCCTTTTCCTGCACCTCCCTGGGGCACCAGATTCACCACTCATGTGCAGGACAAATTCACAGCGAAAGTACCATGGCTCTGCCTGCTGGTGCTGAGCCCCACATACCAAAGGAAATTCCCAATTCTGGAAAAAGAGCACATGAGGGGGAAAAGCTCAAGAATTAGGGTACACAGCAGGGTAAGGGGTGTGTCTTCAGTCTTGTGTATTTTTACATTAAATCATCACAGTAAAATACAGGAACAGTTTAGGGAGGTGACACGTGCAAAAAAACTTTGGATTTTGGTTCCTTATGATAGCCAAGCAGGCAGGCAGGACATGAGGTCAAAATAAGGAGACTTGACCTTTGAAATGTGATGTTGACCTGGATCCTTCTTTGTAAAGTGCTTTCTAGATAAGCTGTATATGACCATTTCATAGCTCCTGCCTTTCAGAGTTTGCAACTCTTCTAGTGTTTCAGCTGAGCTTTCCAGCACACACTTCTGTCTTATTCAGGCCAGGGAGAAAGAATCATAGGAAGGCCTGGGTTGGAAGGGACTTTAAAAGATCACCTCATTACAAACCCCCTGCCATGGGCAGGGACATCTTCCACTATCCCAGGTTGCTCAGAGCCCCATCCAGCCTGGCCTTGGACACTTGCAGGGATCCAGGGGCAGCCACAGCTTCTCTGAGCAACCTGTTCTAGGGCCTCTCCACCTTGACAGGGAACAATTTTTTCTTAATATCCAATCTAAACCTCCTTCCTGTCAGTTTAAATCCATTCCCCCTTGTCCTGTCACTGCAGGCCGTTGTCAAGAGTCTCTCTCCATCTTTCCTGTGGGTTCCCTTCAGGCACTGGAAGGCCACAATGAGGTCACCCCAAAGCCTTCTCCTCTCCAGGCTGAACAATCTCAATTCCCTGAGCCTTTCCTCCCAGCAGAGCTGCTCCATCCCTCTGATCCCTTGGTGTCCCTGCTCTGTCGTGGCTCCAGCAGCTCCCTGTCCTTCCTGTGCTGATCTCCAGGAGAAGATGGATGCCATGGATCTGCTGAAGAGTTACATCAGGGCACTGTGCCTGATGGGAGCAAACCCAACAGGAAGGATATGATCTTGCAGGATATGTTTGTCACATTACTTGAAGTTCTTAAGATTACAAGGGGAAAGGCAGCTCTTTCACTCAGACTCCAAGCCTGGGGACTTCCCACTGTCTCAGAAGAGCAGTATAAGCACAAAAGGGTTTCAGAGCACTTAGAAAAGTGCCACTGATGAGAAATGCAATGAGTGAGCACAGAGCAAAGCTCTTTCAGTTCATTTAAATGTAAGGCTTAGAGCTTAGTAAAGGGGAGGTTTGAACCAAACCTATGGAAAACTCCTGTGGAATTTAGGAGAAAAAAAAATTACTGATTTTGAAAGCTTATTAGGAATCTATGTTCCCCTGAAAAGGTTTTGGGGGTTTTTCACTCATTTCCTTGAAATCTGTCCTCACATACTTCTGTGGATCCTCCTGGATTCATACCTATTACATTTCCCTAGACTTTTCCATGTAGACATGCAAACTGAAACCACAGAAAATATTTTCATGCACCCTCCACCCTCCAGAGCAAACCCACCACATTCTCCCCGACTCCAGCAAGGTGTGACGTGGCAGCCTCCTCAGAGGTGCCAGCCAGCTGCAGCAGGCAGAGAGGCAGTACAACCTGGATAGAGGGAAAGAAAGTCAGCTTTTCAGGAAAAATCCTGTGTTCACTGCCTTTTCCCTTCTTTCTTTTGCAGAACAGCACTAAATTGATAGACCCACAAGCCTGAGGAAGTTTATAAACCACTCTTAGCAGACACTGGTGACAATCGTAAATCGGAGGTGTCCACAAGCTGGCAGATTCAGCTCTGGTGAAAGTAAATGCATCTCCTATTGGGACCAGAGGAAACTGCTCCCAGTTACATTAATGTTGAATATGGCCCCTTCTGTGACTTATTTTTAATTGTTGGACATTGTTAAAAAAAAAGAAACTGGAAAAATGTGCATTCTATCAAGTATTGTGAAACTGTGTGGGTTGGAGAAGGCTCAGTTTTTAATAAAGGAAACATTCATTGCATCCCATTTCAAGGACTTCCATTAGATAGAAAGGAGACAGGAAGCTGAAGCTTTGCTCTTGGTAGCTCTCCCTTTGCTACCAAACAGCAGTACTTTAAATGAAAAAGTAAAGAAATAAAAGGAAACTGTGTAACTGTGGAGGCCAGAGAGGTTTCCTTACCTTTGCCAAGGTCAAAGCTTGGCATCACATAGAGTGCAAGAGTGTTGGGTGCTAAGCTGGTGCTATGGGGATCTTGACTGTGTCCCATTCACAGGAAAAGGTGTCAGACTAGCTTTTTCCAGCTGGTCTTAGGTTAATTTTTGAAAGGTTCCTCCTATGGAATGCAAGAAAAAAAAGTATTTTAGAGGCAGATTTAAACAAATCTGAAAACTCAGCATATGCTCAGGCATACCCACAGACTTCAGTCCTGTTACAGTCCTATTACATTTCCAAAGGCATTTCCCACCAGGATGGTAAAGGCCTCTTGAGTTTTAGGTGTCATTCATTCTTCTCAGCTTCCCTCTGCTCTGCTTCCTCCTCATTGTTTTCATCTGCTGGTCCATCCCGGCCTGATTTGTCATAATTTCATGTTGACATACTGTAGTAAGACAATTGCAGCTGCTCCCTCTGAAGAATGCAAACAGGGATCTGTCATCTCCTCTCCCCTCCTGCCCTCCCCCTCCCGGGAGGGATGGATTTCACCGGGAATGAGGGACTGTGGCCACCAAGAAGTGGCCACGGTCTGTCTAAGCAGAGGGCTGGCAGATGATTCCCTGTCCCTGAGATCTTTTGGATATCTCAATTTCTGCTTAGCCTAAATGCTCCCCCATCCAAGTGTGTGTGTGTGTTTATGCAGCAAGCTCCGGGATGCAAACGGCATTCCTCTTATCATACGGAGAGAGGATGTGAGCTCATTCATAAGGAATCCCAGCTCTGGGGTGCCCCTCTCACTTAATCCAAGCATCCCTTGCATGCTCCTTCTTCTGAGAGGGTGGAAGAAAAGCAAAGCACAGTGCTATTGGCTTCTAATAAGTGGGATAATATATTTCAGAGAGGAGCTCAGACAGGAGAGGAAATGAACTTGGCTAGACAGTCACTTAAAATATAAAAAAAAAAGTGTGGGGGGGAATTTGCAAAACTCATTCCATTATTTCATGTAAATATACTTGGCTGGGTTAAGACAGGCTGATATAATCATAAGATGCTGAATAAGACAGATTTAGCAGTGCAGCATCATTTATTAGCCTGCTTGACAAAAACAAAAAAAAAACAAAAAAACCCCAAAAAAACAAAAAACAAACAAAAAAAAAACCACAGCAAAAAGANCAGCAAAAAGACCAGATTCTAGGCCTAGCAAGTTGCTGGCTGTCAAAATAAGGAAAAGCCTAAAATGTCGTGAGCCTCTGATGCTGGAAAAAGGCCCTGGGAGTGTTACAGCACCTAGATGGGCTCCCTGGGACTCCACCTGGGTGGAGGATCTGCTGGTGCGGTGAGCTTTTCACATCTGGGCTCAACACATCAGCAACATCTGTCAGTGTCTGACAGGAGGATGTGGTGCTACTGTTCGGGCTCGTTGCGAGAAAAGCTAGGAATGGTTCTGAAAGGAGCTGCCATGATCCTGAAAACCTGCTGTGAGACCAGAGGTGGCTGTCACCATAGGCAAAGCAGGAAGGTACCACCTGAGAGGGCTGACAGCCCAGGCTCACACAAGAAGCCTGTGGAATGCAAAGCACACAAATCACCTCGCGAGTCTGGAATCAGAATCTAACCCATGACACACATATTTCAGTCGGGATTTTTGTCAGAAAACTATGCCTGAAATCATAGAATCCCATGATATCTTGGATTGGAAAAGACCTACAAGGATCATTAAGTCCTCCTGGCCCTGCACAGACACCCCAACAATCCCACCTTGTCTCTGGGAGTTTTGCCCAAAAGCTCTTGGAGCTCTGGCAGCCTTGGGGCTGTGACCATTCCCTGGGGAGCCTGTTCAGTGCCCAGCACCCTCTGAGCGAAGAACCTTTTCCTGATATCCACCCAAACCCTCCCCTGACACAGCTCCATGCCTTTCTCCGTGTTCCCATCCTGCTCCTGCACAATGCTGTAATCACTGTCAGCAGAAACAGGAGCTAATTGTTAAAAACAGAGACAGGTACACATTACAGTGAATTAAGTCTGCCGATGCATGGGATTTATCATGACTCCATGAAACTCTTCTGTTTAAATTTCCAGCTCCTGGAGAAATGTGGTGACATAAGCAAATCACTCGTGTTCTTTCAGTGAATCATCTGTGCTTGCTGTTGATGAGAAAGCTTAGAAATGTAACAGGAGATGAATGAAAACTGAAAAATGTGAACAGAACTTGAACTACTTCCTAAATCTCATTTTTCAGCCACTCCCGTAAATACTTGCAGCCTGAACTTTTGGCACTGGCAATGTTTCTTATGCTTTAAAGTGCAGGGTGTAGATCACAGTTTGATAAAATTAATGCAAATTTACTGACACAAATGTGCAAAATTTAAGACTTGCAGTTCTGTAGAGTGGTTTGTAATTTTCAAAAACTAATCTAAAAAACTTTTTTAAAATTCTCATGATTCTACTGAGCTGTTCCCATATTTTACTGTTTTCAGCCACATGACACCTGAAAATTATTACAAAAGAATTTGAAGAGATAACATAAATGGAAAATTAGGATGATTGCAGAATTTTTTATATCTTTATTGATATTTCAATTCAGCTAGTAATTCTGCACACTATTTTCAAAACCTAATCTTGAATTAATTCAAAGGAGCCCCTTTGTCAGAAGAATTTGGTTTCAGCTGTGAATATTCAGCACATAAAAAACCAAGTCCCTCTGAGGTATCACATTATGAACAGCTGGAAGCAAGGCACAGAAGTTGACCAGGCACTTGAAAAACTCTGGCCCATAATGAATTGTTGTTGTTATTCTCTTTAAAGTACAGAGGGTTGAATATATTGATCCTATAATGCTTTTTCTCCATATGTAGCTCTTCCCAATTCAAGCCAGGTTTAACCCTAAAAGGACACCACGTATCTGGAGATACCTTTGTAACTTCAGCTCTGAGGAAGAAAGTGCCTGTGGTGGTAGATACCTTTTCCTGGAGGTATTTTCATCAATATTCATGAAGTACTCAAGGGACAGGGATAGTGAGTGTGACAGACAACCACAGGAAGGTGGCAATTGTCTCTCCTCACAGCAGGGTTCAGATGTGGATGGTGAGTTACAGGCCTGCACACTGACCCTGAGGATAAAACAAATCACAGGACTGTTAGGGTTGGAAAACACCTCCAAGATCAGCAGCTCCAACTTTTGGCCTCTCTCCCCACCTTGATGCCCAGCCCAGAGCACTGGGTGCCACATCCAGCCATTTCCTGAACATCTCCAGGGATGGGGACTCCACCACCTCATGGGAAAATCCTGTCTGTCTGCCCACTGAACCAGCATGCAGGGAAGGACCTGGATGTTCCTGTCTCCAGTCACTTCCCAGCCCTCAGTGTGCCTGCACTCAGCCTCCATGTCATTGCTTTCCCCATAAAGCCTGTGGCTTATAGCTGGCTGGGAAGATCTACTTCCCCCTTTAAAAATAATATATAATACTGGCAAGGTGAACATTTCTTCATTTAAAAAAAAATAACTTTTAATGTTCTAATTTTTCATTAAAAAAAAACTCATTCGAAGAAACATCCCCTTCAGTTTAGAAGAAAAAACTCCTAAGCTTTCTAGATACAAATGTTGCACCCAACCTTGTACAGAATTAATTAAGCTCTGTCAAATACATAAAAAGAAAGAAATCCACTATTTCTTCATCAAGCACTTGTACACAAAATTTCATGCCTGTTTATTTCCATTTCTATTCAGTTGACTTTAAAGTTCCAAAAGGCTCGCAGCCTCTTCTGTGAATGAGCAGTGCATCCATTTTACAGATGTGCAACAAGATTAATCAGATTTATTCAAGGACGCACAAGAAGTCTGTGCAACAGCTGGGAAGAAAACCCCAAGTCCTAGTCATATGCTCTAGCCACAGAATTATCCTTACTCTTGGAAAAGCTGAGGGGTGCTTTTGTGGAAAACAATGAGTTGTAAAACCTGAGGAAAATAAACTTTCCCAGGCTTTTTCATAAGCAGGGCTGGAGAGAGATTTTTATATGAAGGGGCTGCTTGTAGGGACATTTAAATGCAGGTTTTGGTCCTATTTGTTGCCTGGTTTGCTTTAGTAAATAAATACGTACATGTGCTGAGGTGAGTTTGGATAAACCTCCACCAGTGAAAGAGTCCTTCACAAAACCAGTGGAGCAGAGAAGAGCCCAGCTCCCCCCGCCCGCATGCGCCTCCACGCCTGTGCCACCCCACTGATGTCAGAAATGCTAAATTCTTTCATCGTTGTTTGAAACAAGACCTCCATTATAAGCCAAATTTTGACTCCCTCTCTAGAGGAAAAATAATCAGCCTGAACTTTCACAGGCATGATATTAACTCAGGGTAGAATGTCCTTTTTTTAGGAAACTTGAGGCTGACTGAACAAATTGTTCAAGAGATTATGGGTTAGGGAAGCAGGGGGTGGGGGGTGACAAGGAAATACACGAAACTGAGTTTTTTTTTTTATTTCCTAGTTTACTGTTTAGGAAAAACAACCTTTTAGTCAGGAATAGCCAGGGGGACTAGGCAAGGTTTCTCTCTTCCTCGTGATATCATGAGATGCACACACTGACTAAGCAACCCCTGGAGCAGCAACACACTGTGGAAAGCAGCTCTGGAGAAGCTGGAACAGCCTGAATGAACTTTGAGACTTAACACTGTTTTAGCTGAACAATTCAGGTGGTGAAGCACCTCTGGAAGCTCGTAGTCCAACCTGTCGTTCACAGCAGGGCTAATTCCAAAGCTAGATGAGATCCCACAAGGCCTTATCCAGTCAAGTTTGGACATTTTCCAAGCATAGGTATCCATCATCTACCCTAGGCTCCTGCTTCTGTGCTGCACCACTCACACAGAGAAGAATTTTTCCCAATCAAAAAAATCAGAATTTTTCTAGTTGCAACTGTGTCACTTGCCTCTGGTCCCTTCTCCACGCACCTCTGAGGAGAATCTAGTTCTGCCTTTTCTAAATTTGCCCTTTAGCCAGAAGTCTGCACTGACCCAGCTGAGTCTTGTCCAGGCAGAACAAACCCAGTGCCCTTAGCCTCCCTTCAGACAGAAACACAGACTGGTTGAGGTTGGAAGGGACCACAGGGAGTCATCTGGTTCCACAGCTCTGATCAAGCAGGGTTATTCCAGAGCATATGGCACAGGATTGCTGGTCAGCAGCTCTGCTGAGAAGGACCTGGGGGTCCTGGTGAACAACAGGCTCTCCATGAGCCAGCAGTGATCTGGGGGACAAGAAGGCCAGTGATGGCCTGGGGTGCACTGGGAAGAGCAGTGCCAGCAGGTCAGGGAGTGATCCTGCCCCTCTGCCCAGCCCTGGGAGGCACATCTGGACAGCTGAGTCCAGTCCTGGGCTCCTTGGGACAGGAGGGACAGGGAGCTCCTGGATTGGGGCCAGCAGAGGCTGCAGAGATGATTCAGGGCCTGGAGCATCTGTGCCAGGGAAAGGCTGAGGGAGCTGGGGCTGTCCAGGCTGGAGAGGAGCCCCAGCTGAGAGGGGCCCTCAGCCCTGGGTGTCCCTGTGTGCAGGGAGGGCTCCGAGCAGGGTCCAGCAATGGCACCAGAGCCACGGGCAGGGACTGAGCCCAGGGGGCTCCACTGACAGGAGGCACAACTTCTGTCCTGGGCAGGGACTGAGCCCTGAACAGATTGTCTAGAGAGGCTGTGTCTCCTCACTGGGGACATTCCAGAGCCATCTGGACACAATCCTGTGCTCTGTGCTCTGGGATGGCCCTGCTGGAGCAGGGAGGTGGGACAAGATGACCCTCCGTGGTCCCTTCTAACCTGACCCATGCTATGATCCCTGTTTCTTTTCCTGGCCTCTCCACAGCCACCAGAGATTCCCAGCTCCAGAGGCAGACATTGGTGTTTTGAGCATGTGAGCTATCTGAATCATTCAAGAATTTTCCCAGGTGGTGGGCACAATTTCCAGTTTGTCCAACTCCATCGTGGTCCACTGAAGACCTCAGCTTTTACTCAGCATCTGCACAGAAAGTGCAGTGAACAGCACAGCTGAAGTGGGCACTTGCACAGCTCTGAGAACTGGCTGCTCCACACAGAGGAGAGGACTGGGGGTTTGGGGGTGAAGTTTTATCTGACAACAGCCCAGTGATATCACATTATCTACATGATCCAGCCTGGAGGGAGTTCTGGGGAATAAAGGTGGCCACATCCATAGTATTATGGAATCACAGAATATGCTGAGTTGGAAGGATTGTTGAACCCAACTCCTGGCCCTGCACAGACACCCCAACAATCCTACCCTGTGCATCCCTGAGAGTGCTGTCCAAACACTCCCGGAGCTCCGGCAGCCTTGGGGCTGTGACCATTCCCTGGGGAGCCTGTTCAGTGCCCAACACCCTCTGGGGGAAGAACCTTTTCCTGATATCCACCCTAACCCTCCTCTGAGCTCACTCATGTTGTTCAGTTCATCCTCACAGCAGCAGGGTGAAAGGGAAGGGAGGCATGATCAAGATGTCCATTGATGGTAGTCAAGTCTTCCTGACAGAATGACATTCTGGGGTCATTCATAGCTGGAATAATGACTTCAGAGGAGCTGCCTAGTCCTGGATCTTAGAAGACAAAGAATTTAATGTCTTTTTTTATGGCACTTTTTTCCCTCTGCAATAGGCTGTGACTGTAGGTGAGGACTCAGGCTTTGATGTCTTCTAGAATCCTCTCATTTTCTTAAATAATTCAAGCAAATTCTATTAACACGAGTTTTTGCAAGGAAATTGAAACCTAAGTATGTCTGGTATGTGGTAGAGATAATCAGAGGAATACTGAAGCAGCATATGACAAATTTTGTCTTCCATGCATCTTTGCCTGACTGTCCAGCACTTTTGCTGTCTAATCTGTCCTCCACAGGACCTCTACCAAATATCTGGGTGGCTTCATGGTGCCATCTTTGAAAAAAAAACAACTCAAACCACAAACTTGTCAGGGGAATATTTTTCCATTTTTCTCAAAAATAAGACACCCCCTCATCCTAAAAGGCACAGCAGCCAAGTTCTAAGCCCAGTGGCAAACTGAAGACCTGATATGCAGTGGCAGATGATGAGAGAAGTCAGAACTTGCTACTGCTGAGAACAGGAAATTTCCTGACCACAAGCAGATCTTGTGTAATTTTCTCCATCTCCAGAATATCTACTGACACCAGGCTTCTAAAAGCACAATTTAATTCAGTAGAAAATCTATTTTGCTTTTACTTTCTGACAGACAACACTGGTAGTATTTTTGTCCTCCTGAGGTTTATTTAATAATTATCCCTGATAATTAAAGAAACTTGGCTTTCCAAGGAATGGGTCCTCTAAAAATCTCTGCTGTTTCATAAGCGTTTTTAAAACTCTTTTTGAAACCTTTTCTTTAATAAACAGAAACCTTAAAGATGCAGTAGCACTTGTACAGAGCAAATCCATACATCAGCTGCATGCCTTCAGCATCCATGAGTAATGAGGCATCTCCAGCTCCACAATAAGAGTTTGATGCCAGACACCACTGTCATGTATTTTCTCCCTCTCAAATATATGCATCTGTGTGTGAGAAAACCCCACCTTCAAATATGGTATGTCTTTTTAGAGACATTTTCACATGAGAGAGGGAGGCTGAGGTAATCTTATTATCACCAAAACATTGTAAAAACAGCAGAGCATTGGAGAACTTTAATCCTTTTCTAAATTATGGACTGAGAACATTACAATCGTGCTGGGCACAAAGGCAGAACTGTAACTTGACAGGCTTGTATAATTTACAGCCTCCATAGTAAAAGAGGTGTTTTTATTAAATGACTGCCTGAATTTCTACAGCCACTTCAGACTGATGATACTGGGGAGGCTTGCATTCTGCTGCCATCATTCAAATCCTTCCCTTTCACCACAAGAATATGGCTGGGATTCCAGTTCAAACCCCATATCCAGTTATTTATCTATTACTGCTCATCAATTCAGAGCTGAGGCTATTTGTGCTGGTACCTCACTTCAAACACCTTAAATAGCTTTTGTTTCCCATTTTATAAAGCTTTCCTTTACCAAATAAGCATAAAATGTTAACGAAACAATAGCCAAAGTCCATTTATCACCAGGAAAATGCCTCTTGCATAGAAGG